TTTCTGAACTGGCATGACACCAGATCAAATGGTGCGTCTGACCGCTAACATACTTAGGCTAACATACTTCCTCTCTGCTCCCTTAACTGTACATAGAAATAAACACCTGACCTGCGACATCTTCTGTTTTACTTGAATATGGGATTTTCTTTGGTCTTGGATATTAGCCTAGTAGGTTCAGTATCCATCATCAAAGGAGATCCTGTGCAGCCACTCAGATCAACAGTTCACTTCCAAATGTACAAAGATGAAGTATGGGATCATTTGAGCTTCCCACAATCATTCTACATGCTGTGGGGGAGAGAAAGAGAAACAGAATTCAATTGCTAGGAGAGGGGCATGGACACTTTTAATACCAGTTATTTGTATGTCTTTATGCACTGACCTGACCCATCCCTGTCAGTACAATATGGAAGGAAGGAAGTCTTTAGTAGTTTCTTCCTAGTGTAGGTCACTGGCTGCCAAGCAAGAAGAGAACTTCTAGCCACTTAACATATCATAGGTATGAAGCTGGTTTCTGGATACTGCAGTGAAAGTGGACTGCAGATAGCATTTTGCATGTCTGTTTTTCCAGGATGAGGAGTGGAAGGTTCACTATAATAACAAAAGTATTTACTATGCAACAATTCTTACAGCAGCCTTTCAAGGTAGACCAGAAGTGTTAAACCCATTTAACAATACAAAGTCTGGTTTGTCTGAGTCTTTCCACTTAGTATATGGCAGGTGTGAGATCTGAAGCAGATATTTCCTATTCATGGCTTCTGTTGTGCACTAGGCTTTGCTAGGTTCTACTGCAACCTAACTTTCCCACTCTTTTAGCTACCACAATGAAAACAGACTTTAGGAAACCTTGTGATAGAAAGAAGTTCATCTGAGTGATGTTTCACTATGCCAAATGCACCAACTATGTGACAAAAACAGTTATTGGTTATTAAATGGCTTCAAAGGTAATAAGCTATAATTGAATTACTAGTGTTTGACTTCATATCCAATGTTTTCTTTCAGCATAAAACAATTTGTTCAGCAGCCAAAAAAAAGCAGGCCTATCCCATACAGCAAACAGTTGCAACCCCTATTTCAGGTAACATTCTTTACAGACTTGTGTATTTTTTCACACCCCGTTGACTAAGTTTGACACAGGTGAGCAATTATTAATACTTTTAACTATAAAACGTACAAGAAGGGTTTGGTTATCTTTGGCCAAAGATGATTTCACATACTACAGTGACCAGTCCTGATGTATTAAATATGTTTTTGTGTATATTTGCATATTCATCCATGCAGAGCTTGGAGCATACAAGCAGTAGAGCTTGGGGGAGGGGGGTATTGTGCTTTCCCCTCCCCACTATTTCTTCTTTCCCTGGCAGCCTGTGTAGCTGCTCCCCTTTTCCCACTTCCTCCTGTCCTTTCCAACCAGTCTCCCTTTATATACCCCCATCTTCAGCTTCCCCCCCCCCCAAATGTAACCAGGTTGTGAGGTGCCACCTGAGTCAGGTGCAATTGCACCATGGAGAACCTGGAAGGACTTGCAGGGGGTCCCTCACTTTCCTCTTTATACCCTCCCCACTCTATTTCCTCTTTCCCATTTCCAGCCAGCCCCTATATCCTCATCTTTCCCTTTCCCTATTTCCTTCTTTCCTTCCCACCCACTTACCAACGTATGTTTTATCTGCTCCCCCATCTTCAGCTATAATAATTTTTCTTAACTTATACCCCATCTTTTTCTGCAATAGAGACCCAAAGCAGTTTATATCTTTCTCCTTGCCTCTTTTTTATCACCACAACAACCCTGTTTGATAGGTTAGTCTGAGAGTGTGTGACTGGCCCAAAGTCACCCAGTGAGCTTGCACATTAGAGTGGGTATATGAACCTGGGTCTCTCAGATCCTAGTCTGAAATTCTAACCACTACACTACACTGGCTTTCTTGTGGTGGCTGCTGTTGAACAATAGCAAGTGGCCATGCCTGGGTGAGTCGTGTAAGTCATGTGGTGGTGAGTTGCCTGGTGGTTGCTAGTGGGCCTGGCCCCAATGAGTCCTCCGTCAAAGGCTAAAACAGCCCCAGAAAGAGGCCTTTTACTGACAGAAACCAGGGCTTGAAGGCTGGCAATACTGTTTTAAATGTCTAGCAACTGCCAGTGAGAGTATTCATTCTTTAAAGCTACAGGCATTCAATTTATTATTTGGGTTAAGCACCCTCAATTTTAATTTTTAAAAAATATGTCAGATTTCTCTGCAAACCTGGGACTTTTTTCAGCTTTGTAGAGAACTCTGTCTTGTCTGTCCGTAGCCCCAGTCTCAGGATTTGAGTATCTACAGATGGAACCACATTGAGAAATATGTATATGGATTGCTAACAGCATTTCCTAATTCTGGGTAGACTTGCTACATATTCAAGAATTCCTCACACGATCAAATAAATAAATAAATGATGAGTCATGCTGATTGAGATGTCACAAGAAATTGGAGTTACATTGGAAGCTTCCAAAACTAGGAAGTCTTCAATTATTGCTCTGTGTGTGGGTATGTTTGTATGTATGCTCAAGATGGGGGATTTGAGTATCAGCCTCAGTTTGAATTTTTAATACTATTTCTGTCTGGAAACTATTTTGTTTGTATGGTCTTATTTTTTTTATGCTGGGCTGGGCTTTTAATGCTGCGTTTTAATTAATTTCTTTTAAAGTTTTATTTTTATGATTCTGTAAGCCACTGCAGGCAGGTTCCTGGAAAGGCAGCATAATTTTTTTTCTAAATAAATTAATTTACCTCATGAACAAAGTGTGATTTGTTAGTAAGTCAGGTAATAAGCATTGATCTACTAGCCCTTATCTTTGCAGTGGATTCCAAAAGTGTATACCCATGTCAGTCTGCCACCGCCAAAATGACAGAAACTTTTTGGGGTACCTTAAAGCCCAATGAATTAATTGTGGCAGAATCTTTCCTGAGCCAAGCTGACATTGTCATAGGGTGTGAAGTGGTACATTCAGCTGACAGAGAGACTTGTACCCAGAATTACTGATAGCAAAATTACAAAGAGAGACTAGAAGACCCAGTTTTTGACAGAGAGACTTGTACCCAGAATAGCAACATTACAAAGAGAGACTAGAAGACCCAGTTTCATAGAATCATAGAGCTGAAAGGGACCATACAAACCATCTAGTCCAGCCCCCTGTTCAATGCAAGATCAGACAGAAGTAGAAGAGGAGGAGGAGCTTGGATTTATACCCCACCCTTTGCTACCCAAAGGAGTCTCAGAGCAGTTTACAATCCCCTTCCCTTCCCCTCCCCACAACAGACACCCTGTGAGGTATGTGGGGCTGAGAGAGCTCTCTCAAAAACTGTCCTTGAGAGAACAGCTCTGAAAGAATTTATGACTGATCCAGGGTCACACCAGCAGCTGTATGTGGAGGAGGGGGAATCAAACCTGGTTCTCCCAGATTAGAGTCCACGCTCTTAACCACTGCACCAAACTGGCTCTCAGAATCCCTGACAATTGTTTGTCCAGCCCCAGTGCTTGAAGACTGCCAGTGAGGGGGAGTTCACCACCTCCCTTGGCAGCTGGTTCTACTGCTGAACTACTCTTACTGTAAAACTTTTTCCCTAATATCCAGCCAGTACCTTTCTGCCTCATTACTGCAAGTCCTATCCTCTGTTGCCAACAGGAACAGCTCCCTGCACTTCTCTAAGTGACAGCCTTTCAAATACTTAAAGAGAGCAACCATGTCCCCCCTCAGACTTTCTTCTCCAGACTGAAGATTCCCAAATCCATCAGCCTTTCCTTGTAGGGCTTGGTATGCAGGCCCCTGATAATCCTTGTTGCTCTGTGCTACACCTTCTCCATTCTGTCCAAATCCTTTCTGAAGTGAGGCCTCCAGAACTGCACACAGTATTCTAGGTGCAGCCTGACCAACATGGTGTACGGCAGGACTATGATATCTTGTGATTTGGATGTTATGCCTCTGTTGATACAGTCAAACACCGCATTAGCCTTTTTTGCCACTGCATCACATTGACTGCTCGTATTTAGCTTAAAATCCACCTGTACCCCAAGATCTTGTTCACACACACTGCTGCCCAGAACTGTATCTGCCATCCAGTGTGCATGCTTCTCATTTTTTGTTACACACAGAACTCTGCACCTATCCTTGTTGAATTGCATCTTGTCCTCATCTGCCCACTTTCTCATTGTGTTCAGATCTCATTGAATTCTATCTCAGCCTTCCAGTGTGTTCGCTACTCCTCCCAATTTTGTGTCATCTGCAAATGTAATGAGTAGTCCCTCTACCCCCCTCATCCAGATCATTTATACAAATATTGAAAAGTACCATGCCCAGAACCAAGACCTCTGGCACCCCACTGAAGACCTCTCTCCGATGAAATGCCATTGATGACTACTCCTTGGGTGTGGTTCTTCAACCATCTCCCTATTCACCTAACTATCCTAGAGTCCAGTCCACAGTCCTCCAGTTTACCCATCAGGACATCGTGAGGAGCCCTGTCAAAAGCTTGACTGAAAACCACAGCATAGTTGTGTTAGATACTATTACGGGGCACAGATTAAAACATGATGCATTCAATGGATATGGACCACTTGTAACTGTTGATGGGCCCTGATCTGAATGGCCCAGGCTGGCTTGATGTCATCAGATGTTGTAAGCTAAGGAGAGTCAGCCTTGATTAGTATTTAGATGGGAGACTGCCAAGGAAGTCCAGGCTCACAACACAAAGGCAGGCAACGGTAAATTAGCTCTGAACTTCTCTTGCCTTGAGAACCCTGTGGGGTCATTGTAAGTCGGAGCCCGGCACAAGTTGGAATAGGGTGATTAATAAATCTAATAAATAATAATAATGGCAGTTTCCACCAACAACAACTATTGATGAATAGGCAGGGATCTTTTTGTAGAAAAAGCCCAAGCAGGAACTCATTACCATAATTGGCCACACCCAACAGCAAAACTCATTAGCATATTAGGCCACACCCCTGACAGCACCGCTCATTAGCACATTAGGCCACACCCCCATGTTACCAGAAGTGTGGTCATCCAGCCACACCCACCTTTCCCTTCTTATTCTGTAAACGCCCCATTAGCCTTATTTGCCACTGCATCACATTGACTGCTCCTATTCAGCTTAAAATCCACCTGTACCCCAAGATCTTGTTCACACACACTGCTGCCCAGAACTGTATCTGCCATCCAGTGTGCATGCTTCTCATTTTTTGTTACACACAGAACTCTGCACCTATCCTTGTTGAATTGCATCTTGTCCTCATCTGCCCACTTTCTCATGTAAAGTAGGATCAAACCTGTAAGGAGGGACAATTCCTTTTTCTATTGAGTTAACTCTTCCATATAAATCAGAGGAGAATGCTGGTTGGGAAACTGGGGGGAGGCAGTATTGGATAACCATGTCAGCACTACAGATGGGCACGAACTGACTGATGGAGTTCGTCATGAATTTTGGCTGGTTCATGGTTCGCGAAGCGATGTTTGCGAACTGAAGAGCCACCATGAATTTACATTAATTTTGATGCAGTTCATGAAGAGCAGAAAATAGGGATTTAAATGGCTCAGAGCCATTTAAACCTCTGCTTTCTGCTCCCCGCCGCTTTCTGCTGGGATTTAAACCTTAAATAGTTCACAAACCGATACGAACCAGTTTGGTTCACGAAGTGGCCTGTCCATGGTTTGGTTCATGGTTCACCATGAACCACGAACTGAACTGCAAAAATGTGGTTCATGCCCATCCCTAGTCAGCACTGTTGCTATAAGCAGTTGCTGTCTTTTAACATTTTGCTCATAAGCTGGCACGTTATTTAGACTCCACTAAATCGACTCATTTGAGCTGTGGTGCTGGAGAAGTCTCCTGTGCATTCCTTGGACAGCAAGGTGACAAACACGCAAGAACTGGAGCACATAAAACCAGACACGTCATTGGAAGGAAAAAGTATAAAACTGCGACTGACTTATTTGGGCCATGTCATATGGAATATAAAACTGCGACTGACTTATTTGGGCTATGTCATATGGAAGAGCTCACTAGAAAAAGCAATTCTGCTTGGATTGCTTAGCAGCAGAGGGAAACCAGACCACCAAAGAACACAGTGGCTAGACACCATAAAAGTTGACACCAGCCTGAGCATGAAACAACTCAAAGAAACAGCACAAGATTGGAAAACATGGAGAGAGCTGGCCCATAGAATTGCCAAGAGTCGGACAACAACAACAACAAACCTAGTCATACTACTGTAATTTCCTGACTGAACTACTGTAACATTCTTTAAGTTGGGCTGCCTTGAAGGTGTCTCAGAAATTTCCAACTGGTGCAGAATGCAAAAGCAAAACCCTTGTCTGGGATCAGCCACTCAGAAAATATAATTCCAGTTCTGTATCTATGGTAATCATTATGTATTAGCTTCTGGGCCTCATTCAAAGTGCTGGTTATTACCTATAAAACCCATTGTGGTCTAGGGCCCTCCTCCTTATCAAGCCACACCTCCCTGGATACTCCCATGCACCAACTACATTCTTCAGATAGCCTTCTCTTTGTGTACTCTCTGTTAGAGTTGCTCTAGATAGCAACAGTCAGGCCACACGCTTTTTCTATGGTAGGACTGGTCCTCTGGACTGGTTTACCAGAGTGAGTGGCATGTAAGCAAGGCATGTAAGATGATTTTATTTCAAAGGTGATTTATTTGAGGGCAAATTCTTTGCCAGATGTGGCTGTTTTTAACTTGAGTATGGCTTTTATCTTGTTAGTGGTATATCATGTTGTTTTTAGGGAGCCAGCATGGTGTAGTGGTTAAGAACAGCAGACTCTAATCTGGAGAACCAGGTTCGATTCTGCCCTCCTCCACATGAAGCCAGCTGGGTGACCTTGGGTCAGTCACAGCTCTCAGAGCTCTCTCAGCCTCCCCCCCAAAGTCTAGCTTGCCATCTGAAAGAGTTAGAACTTAAGGCTGCCAGACAATCTTTGGGTTTCCTGGCTATTCTACACACAATGCCATGTGATAATTAAGTAATTGTTTTTATGTCCTTGCAGTTTGTTGCTAGCTCCCATGAGTCAAAGGAAATTACATAAGCTATAAATATTATATATAAGCAAGCATGGAACCTGCAAGGGGAAGGGAAAGGCATTTGTAAGCCGCTCTGAGACTCCAAGTGAAGCGCGGGGTGTAAATCATCTCTTCTTCTTCTTCTTCTACCCCCACACTATGCCCTCTTTCACTCCAACTGGCAGCTCTCATAACCTTTCCCCTTTTCCAGCTTCCTCCTGGTTTTCCCACTCAACAAATAACCTTTCTTTTATTTGCCCCCCAGTCTTCCAGATGTGTTTATTATTTACTTCTTTTATCTTTGTCTCCAGTGGGGACCCAAAGCACCTTAAATCATGCTAATCTGCTCCATTTTATCTTTAGAATAGGGTTGCCAAGTCAAAAAAGGTACTTACCGGGGGACTCCCGGTCCGTGGCTGATCCCAAAACCATAGAGTTTTCCCTCGGATGACCATGGCCCCGCCCCCAGCATGCTCGACGTCATAACGTCACTTCCTGGTGACGTGTACGCCGGGATGGGGTTCCCCCTGGGGCCCAATCCGTCGCCGGCGGGGAACGGGCCTCTGGGGAGGGGGGACTTGGGAAGCCTACTTTAGAACAATCCTGTTAGGTAAATTAAGCTGAGTGAAAGTGACTGGCCCAAGGTCACCTAGCAAGTTTCCACAGCGGATGGGGGGGGGTTAATTTGGGTCTTTTAGATCCTAGTCTGACACTCTAACCACTACACTCATGCTGGCTCTTGGCTTTCCCTCCCTCCTAGCATCCTCTAGACTTACTTAAAAAAAAAGCTAGGAATACATAGAACCTGTTACACTTATTGTTGTAATGGTATACTGAAATAATGATGATCTGATATTCTAGTGTTGATTTAAAAAAAAAAAGTACAAAAGCCACAGTGGCCCTGCAGAGGGTGATTGCTGGGGGACTGGGAAAGGGAAACTGTAGGGAAGCCTGCCATGTGGAAACTCCATTGCCACTGCACCTGATCTGATATTCTAGTGTTGGTTTAAAAAAAAAAGGTACAAAAGCCACAGTGGCCCTGGCAAGGGTGAAGGCTGGGGGACTGGGAAAGGGAAACTGTAGGGAAGCCTGCCATGTGGAAACTCCATTGCCACTGCACTTTTATCTGCAGCTGCACCAGCAGTGGAGGAACCATAGAAACTCTATGCAGAAACCACCTATATCTCACCGTTTGTCTATAGGCCATGAATTGTGTGGTGTGTTCTTAATGAAAATATTTATTTATTTATTTATTTCAATTTGTATCCTGCCCTCCCCGCCAAGGCGGGCTCAGGGCAGTTTACATAGCATTTCATGAAGTGCTCTACAATTAAAAGCCTGTCAAGACATACAACAAATCACATAAAATAACAGTAATATGTTATTTTATGTAGATTATGTAGATAATGGGTAATGATTTATATCATGCAGTTATGCAGTGGTATCCAGAAGGTGGATCTGCTCTGTGGAATTAGTCCAGGTTCAAATTAATGGGCATGGAAGTTGTTAGTCCAGGTGGAACTTCTCAAGGACCTTCTTCCCATGGGTTAAAGAACATAAGAACATAAGAGATGCCAATGTTGGATCAGGCCAAAGGCCCATCCAGTCCAACACTCTGTATCATACAGTGGCCAAAAAGACCAGGTGCCATCAGGAGGTCCACCAGTGGGGCCAGGACATTAGAAGCCCTCCCACTGTTGACCCTCCCAAGCACCAA